GTTTCTACAAAGAAAGAAATAGTAGGCTTTACCTGGTTCCAATGCTTGTGCTGGTTTTATGGTCAACACAATCCATGTCAATTCTGTATTTAAGTATTAAAAAGTAATGAGGATTTTTCAATTGTCATTTATAACTGTAACTACGAATTTCCTTTTGCATAAGGCTTGTGTGTCCTAACTAAATACTCTGTGATTTTTTCTTATTCTAATGCCGTTAATTAGATTTATAGACTCTTTACAGAGTTTTATGTTGAGAGAGTTAGAATACAATGCACACTAATAAAATATCCCCACTACCCAACTTGTGCTTTTGCATTTCAATGAATAATGAGACTTAAATAATGTTCTGAATATGTAGTCGAGGATGTTCTAAAGAAATATGGACTGATGATCCATCAGGAAACATTAATAAACATATGACCGCATGGAAGTGGTGACCAAAAGAAAGTGATTCACTGGGCTGTAAACCATTAAGGAATTTGGGTCATGCATGCCTGCTACAAATAAAAATGTATTTAGAAAACAACAGTTATACAGTCTCATTTTTAATTTCCTTTCAGTGACTTTTAGCCTGCCTAAATGTTTTACAATTGAAGGTAATCATTGTATAACATTCTCAATCCTGTGGTAAGGAAATTTACTCTACATCGTTTCCTTTGCACATGACACGGCCATTTTCATGGTTATAGCTAATTAGCTTCCTTTCGACATTAGATACGGAAGATGTTTAAGCAACGTAAACTAGCTGTCATCCAGCGGCATCATAATCAAAATGGCATAAAATTTGCTATAAAACCTGCAGCTAATAACATTTATAAGGCACCTTATTACATAAGGATATTGAAGAAGCTCAGACACTGTATATCACAATGCTTCCCCAGGGACCTGGTTCATATTCTAATGACTGTGTATGGGTTTACTTTAGGAGCATTTATGCACATGCCTGAGCACAGAGCTTACCCAGGCAGACTGATAAGAACTGAGGAAGAGCAAAGTCTAAATCCAGCAGCAAAGTCCTGCATCTGTCTGAAATGAATCAGCAATACTGCCATTTTTCTCATTCACCAGCTAAGTTTTCTCACCATTTCATGGCCACGCTCATTTTAATATTCTTCCATATTTTATTTGAAGATGTTTATACCTTCTCTCCTCTTGAAAGACTACTATTTTCTTCTCTAGCCTTTACGCTTCCACTCAACCTCCATGGCTATCCTCAAGCCATGTTTCTCCCATGGGGCTTTCTTTGATGCCTCGAACCACATTAACCTTTACCTTTGAACTTTTATTGTTTTTGCTCTCTGCCCTGTACAATCAGTGTCCATTCCTGCCTATCTTTTTCTTTTTTAACAAATTAACAACCCTAACAGCTCATTCTTATCCCATCGTAGAATCATAGACAGTCAACTCTGGAAGTACATTAGAGCTCTGGAAGTACATGAGCTCTAATGACCAGTCCTATTTGGGACTTTCTTTTCCCATGTTGGCTTGCTGCCTGGGTCAATCTCCAGGGATATTCAGAATATTCACATGATTCCTGACTTGCTAACCTAGCTCCTGTCATTTCACAGTGCCAGACTTTGTTTCTGTTTTCCTTTACATTGCCTTAAATGAATCTTCTGAACCATGATTCAAACAATCATCAGTCACCAAGAACAATTGTCACCTACAGGCCCTACTACAATCCCTTATACTCATTTCTCATGCAGAAACTTGAATATCAAATATAATCTGTATAGTCAAGATTTTTCTATTTCTCCCTTGATTTAGTGAGCCCTCTATTAGGAGTATGACCAACCTTATTATCTGAACCAATGCGATATAGCTTAGATCCTGTCAACTATGATAATCAGGTTAGCTTATTTCCTATCATTTGATTTAAATGTCATGTTACACCCTCCCCAGTTTTCTGATTATGCTATGTATAAAGCTTGCTTTTTATTTCTAACTAGATTATAAATTTCTTATGAAGAAAGGTATTGCCATTACATGTTTTTATCAAAGATTTAATGTGTTCTCTAGTCCTAGGCATATAGCAGGGCTCACATATTCATTAATGATGATCTTCCATAAACAACTTATATACAGCATGTTCTAAAACAATAAAAACATCATTCTAGCACCTTATAGGATCTGGCTACCCACTAATGGAAAGAACACCACAGTCACTGTTTATAAGACATGCCCCAAATTCACCCTAAACTGTCCTTTCCTTACGGTAGTCTCTCTCTTTTTACTTTAAATTTGATTCTACACAAAATTCAATTCTCAGTTTATAATTTTTGGCTTTATTCTCCAATGTTCTAGCTCTTTCCTACTTCTTGGCTCAACTTAAGGGCCTTTCTGGTGGCAAATTTTCTATGCTTGACTCAGCATACGACCTACATACATTCATATGTACATACAGCCCAGCATACAGCCTAGTTAAGTGTGTTTTTTCCATCTTGGAATACTTCCCCACTCCTTTAGTACTGCTTATACCATTCCCTTTCTCCATCCCATGGAGTTAACTATGTCTCCCTAGAAAGATACCTAATTTTTCCCATCTTTTATTTTATATATATATATATATATATATATATATATAGTATTAAATGACTTAGCATCTTAAACTCAAATGGTGATGCAAAATATTATGATGGAAAGTTTGGAAAGATTGTAAAAATTGGAATACATGAAAATTAATTGGTAATGATATAGATCACTGAATGTCAAAAATATGCCAGCAACAGGAAAGCATTATCAAATCCTCCCTCCTATTTGTTAAAGGATTTTGTGCAATGTGGGTTAGAGATTATTATGGTGAAAGGAATGGGTAGAATTGAGAGGAGATTGCATTACAATATGGCATGCAGACATATATAACATCTTTATGAAAGGCCTGAAACTTCTTATGGTGTCCTTGAACAGCAGGTGCTCAATGATGTTTCCTGAGACTGAGTTGGGCACAGCACAATTGAAATGGCTTGATAAAGGAAATTGACCTCTTCATCTTAGAAAGCTAGGATAGATCTTATATCTGGCAGTAAGACAAACTAAAGTATAGGTACTACGAAATATTCTGGCAAAAAATATTTGTCATCATCAAACTTTCATTTTAATGAGCTAAAGATGCCATAATGCCCAAATAAAGAGAATATATAGTACATCAGATGGTGATAAGGTTGGGAGGATGCTAAAATAGGGTTAGGGGATGCTTGACAAGGCTGGGGTTTACTAATTTAAGTAAAATGGTCAGGATGGATTTTACTGATATTGTGATACTGCATTCTTAAAGAAAGAGGTAAAGAGGTAAGCCATTAGAATATCTGGTGAAAGCATCCTTAATGCACAGTACACACTGGTGAAAGGAAATATTTCACCCTTGTCAGGCAACACTGAGGAACTTTTTGTGCTTGTGTTCATAAATATAAAGTGGTATCGGTTAACCTGGTTATGAGTTATTTTGTAAAAATTGATTTTGGCTCTAGGGCTCAAAGTAAGTGGGAGTTTGGATCTAACTAAATTTAGCCTTTCTTCCAAGTGAGTATAATAAAGATAAAGAAGATCAAGGAAGTTGAGAGGGTAAACAAGGAAACGGTAATGAAGATGGAATGCAAACTAAGGAAGGAAATGAGGACATGGCAAAGAAGTGAGGGACACTGGAAAGGTGCAGAATCAACTAATTGTCGATACTTGTGAGGTCAAAGCTTATTCAAACTGATGTTTAGAGTGTAAGCTGGAAAGGTGGATGATGATTATCAGAGAAGGGGATTCTTAAAATGGAGGCTATAGAGGAAGGTGGTCAATTATTTTGGTAAGGTCCAAGATAAAACTATGTCTACTGACAAACGAAAGTAAAATGAAATTCAAGATGCTTGCAGAAGAGTGATTACAAAGAACGCAGAGGACAAGGTATTACAGATATCATCCAGGTGGATACTGAAATTACAATGTAAAATGAAATGAAAGTGTTGGATAGAAAGAGAATGAACCAGGAGCTAAACTATTCCAGCAAGGAAGTAGAAAAGCAGAATGGTCCCAAGAGCTTGTGGATGACAACAGCAAGGAGGAGAAGAGATTAGGGAGTAACAAAAATGAATTATGTAGGAGAGAAAGAGAAAGACACCCATGCTACTTACCACTGTACTCAGTGATAAGTGGATGTGAGAGAGAAACTCGTCACATTTTGAAAGGATTGTTGGAGAACCAGCATCCTTAGGCAAAGCCAGGTTTCCTTTTGAGCAGTGAATCTCATGCTTATCAGCACCAGTGACCTGTTTTTATAACAAGTATTTTATATTGCTCCTTTAAATCCTGGCATAAAGTCATAGATAATTTAACCTACCTAGACCATAACTTTTAAAAAATAAATTTAAAGGAGAAATAAAAGTAAAGTCATTTTTAAAAAGAAAAGTCATTGAATTATTTTAATATGTAAAGGCTAATGCACATTGACCTCAGAAGTCACAATGCAGAGGTCAGATGTACTGTATTGGTGACAGAGGCAAGTGAAGACTTAAAGGGGTAGATCTGAGATGCAGGGATTTGTTCAAGATGGTGGAGTAGAAGGACATGTGTTCACTGCCTCTTGTGAGAGCACTGGAATCAACATTAATTGCTGAACAATCATCAACAGGAGGTCACTGGAACTCACTGAAAAAGATACCCCACCTCCCAGGATGGGGAGAAGTCAAAATGGGATGGTAGGAGGGCTTCAATCACAATAAAATCAAATCCCAAGGATGCTGAGTGGGTGACTCACAAGTAGGAGAACGGTTATACCACAGAGATCCACCCACTGGAGTGAAGCTTCTGAGCCCTACGTCAGGCTTCCCAACCTGGGAGTCTAACATCGGGAGGAGGAATTCCTAGAGAATCAGACTTTGAAGACAGGTGGGTTTTGATTGCAGGACTTCAACAGAACTGGGGAAAGTAGAGACTCCACTCTTGGAGGGCACACACAAAGTAGTGTGCACATCAGGACACAGGGGAGGGAGTGGTGACCCCATGGGAGACTGAACCAGACCTACATGCTAGTGTTGGCAGCGTCTCCTGCAGAGTTGAGGGGTGGCTGTGGTTCACCTCATGGGCAAGGACACTGCCAGCAGAAGTTCTGGGAAGTACTCCTTGGTGTGAGCCCTCCCAGTATCTTCCATAAGCCCCACCAAAGAGCTCAGTAGGCTCCAGTGCTGGGTTGCCTCAGGCCAAACAACAAATAGGGAGGGAACACAACCCCACCCATCATCAGACAAGTGGATTAAAGTTTTACTACCTCTGCCCACCAGAGCAACACCCAGCTCTGCCCACCACCAGTCCCTCCCATCAGGAAGCTTGCACAAGCCTCTTAGATAGCCTCATCCACCAGACGGCAGAGAGCAGAAGCAAGAAGAACTACAATCCTGCAGACTGTGGAACAAAAACCACATTCACAGAAAGATAGACAATATGTAAAGGCAGAGGACTATGTACAGATGAAGGAACAAGATAAAACTCCAGAAAAACAACTAAATTAAGTAGAGATAGTCAACCTAACAGAAAAATAATTCAGAATAATGATACTGAAGATGATCCAGGACCTTGGAAAAAGAATGGAGGCAAAGTTCAGGAATATGCAAGAAATGTTTAACAAAGCATCAGGAGAATTAAAGAGCAAACACCTAGAAGAATTAAAGAACAAACAAACAGAGATAAACAACACAATAACTGAAATGAAAAACACACTAAAAGGAATGAATAGGAGAATAACTGAGGCGGAAGAATGGATAAGTGACATGGAAGACAGAATGGTGGAAATTCACTGCTGTGGAACTGAAGAAAGAAAAAAGAATGAAAATAAATGAAAACAGCCATAGAGACCTCTGGGGCAACATTAAATGCAACAACATTCACATTATAGGGGTCCCAGAAGGAGAAGAGAGAGAGAAAGGATGCGAGAAAATATTTGAAGAGATTATAGCTGAAAACTTCCCTAACATGGGAAAGGAAATATTCACCCAAGTCCAGGAAGTGCAGGGAGTCCCATACAGGATAAACTCAAGGAGAAACATGCCAAGACACATAGTAATCAAATTGACAAAAATTAAAGAAAAATTATTAAAAGCAACAAGGGAAAAATGACAAATAGCATACAAGGGAACTCCCGTAAGATTAACAGCTGATTTCTCAGTAGAAGATCTACAAGGCAGAAGGGAGTAGCATGATATATTTAAAGTGTTGAAAGAGAGGAACCTACAACCAAGATTACTCTACTAAGCAAGAATCTCATTCAGATTTGACAGAGAAATCAAAAGCATTACAGACAAGCAAAAACTAAGAGAATTCAGCACCACTAAACCAGCTCTACAAAAAATGCTAAAGGAACTTTCTAAGTGGGAAACACAAGAGAAGAAAAGGACTTACCAAAACAAAGCCAAAACAATTAAGAAAATGGTAATAGGAGCATACATATCGATAATTACCTTTGATGTGAATGGATTAAATGTTCCAACCAAAAGACACAGGCTTTCTGAATGGATACAAAAAACAAGACCTGACCCACTTGAGTCCTAGGGACACATACAGACTGAAAGGGAGGGGATGGAAAAAGATATTCCATGCAAATGGAAATCAAAAGAAAGCTGAAGTAGCAATACTCTTATCAGATGAAATAGACTTTAAAATAAAGAATGTTATGAGAGACAAGGAAGGACACTACATAATGATCAAGGGATCAATCCAAGAAGAAGATATAAAAAATATAAATATATATGAACCCAACATAGGAGCACCTCAATACATAAGGCAACTGCTAACACTTATAAAAAAAGGAAATCAACAGTAACACAATAATAGTGGCAGATTTTAACACCTCATTTATACCAATGGACAGATCATTAAGGCAAAAAATTAATAAGGAAACACAAGCTTTTAATGACACAATAGACCACATAGATTTAATTGATATTTATAGGACATTCCATGCAAAAACAGAAGATTACAGTTTCTTCTCAAGTGCACACAGAACTTTCTCCAGGATAGATCACATCTTGGGTCACAACTCAAGCCTCAGTAAATTTAAGAATATTGAAATCATGTCAAGCATATTTTCCAACCACAATGCTATGAGATTAGAAATAAATTATAGGAAAAAAAAAAACACAAACACATGGAGGCTAAATAATATGTTACTAAATAACCAAGAGATCACTGAAAAAATCAAAGCAGATATCAAAAAAAACCTAGAGACAATGACAACAAAAACATGATGATCCAAAACCTATGGGATGCAGCATAAGCAGTTCTAAGAGGGAAGTTTATAGCAATACAATACTACCTCAAGAAACAAGAAAAATCACAAACAATCTAACCTTATACCTAAAGGAACTAGAGAAAGAAGAAACAAACAAAACCCAAAGTGAGTAGATGGAAAGAAATTACAAAGAAAAGAGTAGAAATAAATGAAATAGAAACAAAACAGTAGCAAAAATCAATAAAACTAAAAGCTGATTATTTGAGAAGATAATCAAAATTGATAAACATTGAGACAGACTCAACAGGAAATAGAGGGAGAGGACACAAATCAATAAAATTAGAAATGAAAAGAAGTTACAACAGACACCACAGAAATACAAAGCATCCTAAGAGACTACTACAAGCAATATTATGCCAATACAATGGACAACCTGGAAGAAATGGACAAATTTTTAGAAAGGTATAACTTTCCAAGACTGAACCAGGAAGAAATAGAAAATATGAACAGACAAATCACAAGTAATGAAATTGAAACTGAGATTAAAAATATCCCAAAAAATAGAAGTCCAGGACCAGATGCCTTCACAGGTGAATTCTATCAAACATTTAGAGAAGAGCTAACACCCATCCTTCTCAAAATCTTCCAAAAAATTGCAGAGGAAGGAACACTCCCAAACTCATTCTATGAGGTCACCATCACCCTGATACCAAAACCAGACAAAGATACTACAAAAAAATAAAATTACAGACCAATATCACTGATGTATATAGGTGGGAAAATCCTCAACAAAATAATAGCAAACAGAATCCAAGAGCACATTAAAAGGATCATACACTATGATCAAGTAGGATTTATCCCAGAGATGCAAGGATTCTTCAATATACACAAATCAATCAATGTGATACACCATATTAACAAACTGAAGAATAAAAACCGTATGATCATCTCAATAGATGCAGAAAAAGCTTTTGAAAAAATTCAACACCCATTTATGATTTAAAAAAAAGACTCTGAAAGTGGGCATAGAGGGAACCTACCTCAACATAATAAAGGCTGTATAAAACAAACCCACAGCCAACATCATTCTCAATGGTGAAAACTGAAAGCATTTACTTTAGGATCAGGAACAGGACAAGGATGTCCACTCTGTCACTATTATCCAACATAGTTTTGGAAGTCCTAGCCACAGCAATCAGAGAAGAAAAAGAAATAAAAGGAATCCAAATTGGAAAAGAAGAAGTAAAACTGTCACTCTTTGCAGATGACATGATACTATACATAGAGAATCCTAAAGATGCTACATGAAAACTACTAGGAGTAATCAATGAATTTGGTAAAGTTGCAGGATACAAAATTAATGCACAGAAATCTCTTGCATTCCTATACACTAACAATGAAAGATCAGAAAGAGAAATGAATGAAACAATCTCATTCACCCTTGCAACAAAAAGAATAAAATACTTAGGAAAAAAAACCTACCTAATGAGGCAAAAGACCTCTATGCAAAAAACTGTAAGACACTGATGAAAGAAATTAATGATGTTACGAACAGATGGAGAGATATACCATGTTCTTGTACTGGAAGAATCAACTTTGTGAAAATGACTCTACTACCCAAAGCAATCTACAGATTCAATGCAATCCCTATCAAACTACCAATGGCATTTTTCACAGAAGTAGAACAAAATGTTTCACAATTTGTATGGAAACACAAAAGACACCAAATAGACAAATCAATCTTGAGAAAGAAAAATGGAGCTGGAGGAATCAGACTCCCTGACTTCAGACTATACTACAAAGCTACAATAATCAAAACAGTATAGTACTGGCACAAAAACAGAAATATACCTCAATGGAACAGGATAGAAACCCAGAGATAAACCCACACACTTATGGTCACCTTATCTTTGATAAAGGAAACAAGAATGTACAATGGAGAACAGACAGCCTCTTCAATAAATGGTGCCTGGAAAACTGGACAGCTACATGTAAAAGAATGAAATTAGAACACTCCCTAACACCATACACAAAGAATAAACTCAAAATGGATTAAATACCTAATGTAAGGCCATACACTCTAAAACTCTTAGAGGAAAACATAGCCAGAACACACTATGACATAAATCACAGCAAGATCCTTTTAGACCCACCTCCTAGAGAAATGGAAATAAAAATAAACAAATGGGACCTAATGAAACTTAAAATCTTTTACACAGCAAAGGAAACCATAAATAAGACGAAAAGACAACCCTCAGAATGGTAGAAAATATCCACTCTTTTTTAATTCTTTTCCCTTATAGTCCATTACAGAGTATTGAGTAGAGTTCCTTGTGCTTTACAGTAGCTCCTTATTAGCTGTCTATTTTATATACAGTAGTGTGTATATGTCAATCCCAATCTCCCAATTTATCCCTCCCCACCTTACCCACTGGTAACCATGTTTGTTTTACATGTCACTGTATTTGTTTTTTAGATAAGTTCATTTGTACTCTTTTTTTTTTAAGATTCCACCTATAAGTAATATCGTATGATATTTGTCTTCCTCTGACTTATTTCACTCAGTATGACAAATCTCTAGGACTACTGGAAATTAATGTTGACTATAAACCAATTCTTTCTTTTCCATATCACCACTCTTGCTGCAGGGTAATTCTCCTACCCCTGATATTTTGTCCCTCTCCTCAGTTCCAGTTATTGTGAAAACCAAAAGTACCCACACACATTTTTAAAATGCACCCACACTCTACCTGATTAGACCATGAAGATTAATATCCATGTTAGTTTATAGAAAAAAAAAGGGGCTTAAAGAAAATCTGATACATAAATGAGACTTTGGAATTGTGATCAAGTCACTTCTTAAAGTGATTAAAACATAAGCTATTTTGGACAAAAGCTA